GCCCATGTCAACATCAAAGTGGATAATATATCAGGCCCTGGCATTTAGTGTCCTTACACAGGAGATTATACTTCTCTAAGCTGACACCTAAGACAGGACCATGCACCTGCCGGCTCAGTAGTATCATCTGTGGGACACACCTGCTACTGAGACAGCACTCACATCCACAGAGCGAGGTGATTGTTATGTTGCAGACATTGTTCTGAGTGCTCTCCTTAGTCTCACAACAACTCTATGAGGGAAGTGGTATGGCAAGACCCCTCTAACCAAGACAGAGAGAAAACTGAGCAAACCTTTACAGAGAAAGGTTAATTCAAGTCTTATTACTCACAGTGACCATCATCATAAAAAAGAACACAGGAGACAATTATACATAATGAGGCAGGCAAATTTTTTCAAAATTTAAAAATATATATTTTATAACTGGCCTCTAAAATAGCAATTCACAGAGGAACCCCCAGTAGCGATAAGCCAATGGGATATGGCAGAATGAGCCCTGTACTAGGAGTCAAGACAGCCTTTAGTCCAAGCTTCACCCCTTATTGTGAGTTGTTGGATATGTCAGCCCCTCTGCCCCTCATTTTGTCCATCTATAAAATATGAAAAGTATCCTATGTTCTAATTCACAAAGATGTCTTAGAATCTCAGCTTAAAACAAAAGAAGATACTAAAGATAATCTTACAGATAAAAGAAATAAGGCCCCAAATTATATATTAAGACTCCCACCTAAAGTCACAGTTATGCAGAGGAAAGAACAAGATCCAAACTGATTCCAGGACCAGGAATCTCTGCCATGGTTAGCAATACATGTTACATCTCCATCTTCTTCATCCCTAGCTGAACTCAGAAACCCAAAGTTTTGAGTCTTGTCACAATCACTACGGATCCTCAAGCAGTTAACCTCTCTGAACACCCACCTTTCTTCACCTATAAAAAATATGGATCACAAATAAATATGACCATGAATATGGTAAATATATTGGAAACTATGAATCTCTGCATATGGACAAGCAGCAATGATGATGATGACAATGACTTTATTAGAATGGCTGTCTTCTATTCCATCCATCCTGTGGCATAATAAGTAGCATAAGGAGAATTAAGGAGAGCATCAGGGATGCAATAGAAGTTCAGGGCACCAAATGTCAGACCATTGACATCAACCAGAGAAGGGCAGAGTAAAAAAAGACCTCATTCTTTATGGAAATGAGCTTCAAAGAGTCAAAAAAAAATCAGCAATCAACACCCAGGTGAGTGTAAGTAGGTTAATGTGTCACAGGGAGATAGAAAAGCAGAAATTGTTCTGGGTCAAATACAGCAGTATTGAAGGCTCAGGATCAAGTAACATGACAGTAAGGGGGTTTTTAATAGAATACACATCTTCTGGCCGGCACCACAACCTACCAGTTCCGTATATGGGACCCCCACAAAATGGGAATAAAATGCATGTCAGCATCTCTTCCCAGTTCTCAGTCCACTTCCCAGTCCCCAGTCCACTTCCAGATGAAATTGTTTCTTTAACAGATAGGCGAACCATAGTGGACACAGTTCTTCTGGGTAAATGAAAGCAGATGAACTTAGGTAACTCACTCTGCCTTTCTGTGAAGATGCAAATTTCCAGGAGATAGAGTTCCCAACTGCTCTCTTCCTTGCCCTTTTTCTTCTGGCTGACATTTGGCTGTTTTCTCTTGGAACTTGGAGACATGGGGCAAACTTCAGGCTTATAATTCTGGAGTATGGCCACCTACAAACCTCCCATGTGGAAAACTTGAATCTTTTTCATCCACCTCCCACACCTTCAATGATAAAGATGTGCATTTAACCTTCAGTTCATTTAATAATAATTTATTAAGCATATCCTACATGCCATGATAACCCTTTGAAAGACATTGGGCTATAACAATGAATCAGATATCTGCCCTCAAAGCAGTTTTATGAGCTAAACATAAACTACAAACACTTACTGGATGTATACTATGTGCAGAGTAAGTTAATCCAAAAGAGGGAATCATCATTTGAATTTAAATATGCAATGTATTTCGTGGTGATTCTTTTGTTGTTTGTCTGTTTGTTGCATTTGGCTTTCTCATGGCTAGATTTATCTTCTTAGGTAAAAGCCAAGTCTGAGAGTTTTTAACTTTTCATAACCAGTCTTTACAAGTGTAATCATGAGGATAGTAGGATAGGGATTCTGAGTTGGCTCTCTATATAGAATACCTTCAACTCAGTACTCTCAACAAGTGACTCCCAGTCTGTGGCTCTGTGTGTTAGGGATCATGCTATTCCCATCCCAAGATTTCTCAGAAGAGTTTAGCAGTAACAGCCCCATAATTGTGAGACAACAAAGATGCTGTCTTGTATGTTGGAAGGAAAAAGATGAGGCATCAGTAAAGGAGGGGGATACATGATTATATCCAGAACAATTAGATACATTTAGCCACAAGAGAGAACTTACACAGAGAAGATGGCGTATCAAGCCAAAAAGGTAGGCTGCAGAGAGATCACAGAAATTTTTGGAAGCCTTGATGAGATATTAGATTGTATCTTTAGTCAAGATAGAGCCACCAAGTGTTTTGGGGCTTTTATGAGCTAGAGTTTTAAAAAGGAGATTGAGAACATCAATCCATCAGGAACTCCTGAGACAAGTCCACTTCACCTGGTATCACTCAGCTGTGAAGATGGAGCAGAACATGAGAGTTGAATCACCACCCACTTCCCGTCCAAACACCTTCGGTAAACTTCTGGAGCTCTGCCCAAGGGAAGGGCAGTCTTCCAGGTGCTCGCAGTTGAGTAGAAGGGATACAGGAGAAAGATCTCCTCACCCCCGCCATGCTCCTGCCTTCCCTGCCTCCAACCAACTTGTGGCTTGAGCCCCAAGGCTCAGTCCCATAATTTATTATTAATCTACCTGTAGGAAGTCATTAACTCGCTCATGTTGCTACAAAGAAAAAGAAAAATTCTTCATGATTGATGATGAGAATAATACCTGTTCTCTAGGTGGGATAATTCATAGACTTTAGGTGTCTATTTAATTTAAAGCCCAGCCACAGTGCCAGCTTCCCACAGGTTCCTCCATCCTGCCTCACCCTCACTCTACCCTCTGGGGGAATCCCCCTGGGTTCCTCACCAGCAACTTGAGAATCTCCTCTTTTAAACCTTTAATCATCTTCTTGCAAGAGAAAATTCTTGATCTTATTATCTTGCCTCCGATCATCCCTCTCTCTTCTCTTGCCATATCTTGGTCTCCAGCTAGCATTGTAGCATAATGTTTTGGGGCCTCAGCTTCCCAGTATTATTGGACATTTGACTATAAATGCATTTATCTGTTTGAAAATTCTTTGTAACCTCGGTTCTGTCCTGTTATTTACTGCTTCTATTTTGACTAGTTCAAACATATGAATCTCTCTTAACTATGTGTAGAGTTTTTCCCAATCTCTTTTAGTCTATTGGTCTCCATACTTTCTTTTATCATGAATTCCATCAGTAAAAAAAAAATATATATATATGAACATGCAACCCACCAGCTATGAATTGAATGTTTGTGTCCTCCCAAAATTCATACACTGAAACCTTGACCCTCAATGTGATAACATTTAGAGATAAGGCTTTCAGGAGGTAATTAGTTCATATGGGTGAAGCCCTCATGAATGGGATTAGTGTCCTTATAAGAAGAAACACAAGACAGATAAGTCTCTCTGCCATGTGAGAACACAACAAGAAGATATCTGTCTGCAACCCAGAAGAGGGTCCTCACTAGAACCCAGCCATGCTGGCACCCTCAGTTTCAGCCTCCAGAACTGTGAGAAATAAATGTCTGTTGCATAAACACCCAGTTTATGGTATTCTGTCACAGCAGCCTAGGCTAAAACACTACCATATGCATGTTTATTTTTAATTATATGCGTGTATATTTTACTAATACATTATGTGCATCATAAAATACCCCAAAAAATAGGGATTAAAAGAAAAAGAAAAAAATAAATGGAAACCGAAATTGCTACAGGCCTAGTGGATCATCTTGCACAAGCTCTGGGATGCAGACATCCCAATCTGGAGATTCCCATCCTCAGCAGCAGCATCTGGGATCCACCTCCTGAGTGAGCAGACAGGAAGAGTAGGATCATCAAAATTAAGAACTGTAGGACATTTCCTTTGTTTTCCATCTATCTTCTGTTGGCCAAAACCTAAAAGCATTTTTACATCAGACAATTCCTTTTCATTCGACATGAACACATGAAGTTATGGATGTGACAGACAGTGGCACCAAACTACTATGTGTCCTTAGCCTTCTGTGAGATACAGCTGGAAAAGTTCCTTGGGTGGAATCAGTCTTAAGCAGAGCACAAAGGAAGGAAATGGTGGAGATTGGCAGAGAAAGGAAAGAAGGAAGTATTGCGTGGGCCCAAGAAGCACATGAGGAAGAAAAGGACTTGGGGGAAGAGGGGAAGAAGATTTATTGGGTTGAAGTGGAGAGACGAGGCCGAGAGCACAGGCGTGGAGCAGAAGGGCAGGCGATGTCAAGCGGATGATGCTAGACAATCCGTGTCACCATTAAAAAAATAAGCTTCAAGGGCGGGGCGCGGTGGCTCACGCCTGTAATCCCAGAGGTGGGTGAATCACTCGAGATGAGGAGATTGAGACCAGCCTGGCCAACATGGTGAAACTCCATCTCTACTAAAAATACAAAAATTAGCCAGGTGTGGTGGTGCATGCCTGTAGTCCCAGCTACTCAGGAGACTGAGGCAGGAGAATTGCTTGAACACGGGAGGTGGAGGTGCGATGAGATCGCGCCACTGCACTCCAGCTTGGGCAACAGAGTAAGACTCCATCTCTAAAGTAAAATAAAATATATTAAAAACAAGCTTCAGTTTGCCAACAGAGACAACTGCTGACAGTTACAGTTCTCTATAAAGGGCATACAGACCAAAATGATGCTTGGCAAATATTAGGGTTGCTTACCTGTAGATTCATGGGGCTCCATGAGGAAATGAGGCCACCAGCAAAGGCCAAGGTGATTGAAGGCTAGGACTAGAGACTCACAGCAGTGGAGGGGATGGTAAGAACACAGACAGCAAGATGGAAAAGGGATTCTGAGGCATGGACAAAGTGGGAGAGAAAGAAGAAACTGGAAAGAGAAAGACAGAACCCAAACCATATGCATTCCTGCCAGAACCAGGATCATTCGTCACAGGGCTGGTTATTGACACGGATAACTCAGGAGCAGAACCACCCTATGGCCAGCACCTTCCAAAGCCCTATGAGCCAGCAGCACATGGGCACTGCAGCTGAGGCCATGTCTTCAGGCCCTTTTTCAGTTTGGGGCTCCTCAGCACCAGGAAGGTAGAGTGCAGACAGATGTTGGCATAGATTAGCACTTCCCAGGCCCAGTGCCAGTGATTCTGAAAGTTTATGATTTTCAAAGCAGAAACAAACAAGAACAGGAAGTACAATGTACAGAAGATGAGAGAAACGGTGAGTGACTTTAGAGCCACGGTGTAAGCCTGGGTGCTGGGATGACAGGGCCCGGGCCTGCGGTCCCTCATCTGCCCCAAGTGCCAGCACAGTGAGACTATGAGCAAGACAGTGGACACTAGGAACAGGAGGAATGGAATCAACAATACAAACCCTTCATAAAGGAAAAAGTAGAGCTCAAATGAAGCCTGCACTCTATAAACTAGAGTTTCGTTTCCGTAGGAATTCAGGGAGACCTTCCTCGGACCAAACAGTACATTCCCAGTGGCCGATGAGATGACTTCCAGGCCACAGATGATCAGGGAGACCTGGATCAGCCTGGGCACTGACCGAGAGATCCTCCACTTCAGCCAGGCGAAGGTGGGGTGGGAGAAAGATGAGATCTTCACACAGTAGAAAGCAGCAAGCAAGGCAGTAAACCACAAAGTGAGGGCATTGAAAAGGTCCCAGAAGGTGTTCACATAGGGAACTGTGCGCCAAAAATCGAGGGAGGCCAGGAAGTTGTTCACCATGGCTACCCCATGGAGGCAGAACCGGGAGGCAGCGAGACAGGCCACAATCATGTCACTTGCGGACAGATTCCGGCACCTTACCCACTCCCTGCCCAGCACTGTGACCAAGAAGCCATTCTGCAGCATTGCAGCCAATGACTCCAGGCAAAAGATGGCCATGAAGATCAATGTGGGCGAGGAGGGCATCTTCTCCATGGAGGTTCTGCTAAGTCTCGGCTCCTACTGCAGAGGACTGGGACACATCTGCAGGGAAAAACAGTCTCTCTGGCCAAGTCAAGCCACCCTGTTGACACCAGAGACTCAGAAGCCCTTGTCCCTGGATTCATAGAAAATCCCAGCCACCAGCAAACACCCCCAGTCCCCAACATTTGAAAAGATAATTTCTGTAATCTCCTTTGGCATGCAAACCACTCCCAGCTCAAGGACACCGTCTCTATTTGCATAACCTGTATTTGCCTATCCTTTCTCAGAGCCAGATGCAGGGAAATGTTAACAGAATAGAGGCTGCCGGGGTGACTGAAAATACCCACATTTTGTACATTATGTCTTAACTGTACTATTTCTTTCCTAACTCTTCTTTAAAAGAGTTTGTTACTCTTATTGTTCTCCCCAAACCACAAATCTTCCCTTCGCATCCTGCCTTAATATTTTATTCAGTAGCCTCTATACACGGCATTAGCTCACCTCCTGAATGGGTGGAACAGAAAAATCATTCACATGCACAAGGCTTCAGATTACCAAGAAAAGGCTCCCTAACCACTGACCTCTCATGCTGCCTAAAATTTCACTGTCAAGCTCCATATTGGAGTTCATGGAATCTCCAGTTAAAATGTGGGTTTCTTTGATGTGTTACCATTAAATCTATTAACTATTATCCCCTTGGCTCCAGTGTGCTTGATCAACCAAAAGTAATCAGTTCCTAAGAAGCCTCTGAGGAAATGAGAGAGAGTAGATAAGTCATAATGAAAAGACAAGAAAGACAGAGAAGGGAAACTGACCCAGAGAGGACATCACCATAGGAGCTGGGGGAAGCAAGAGTTGGTGGAATGACAAGAGGAGCTCAGGGCAAAGCTAGGCCACACGGGAAGTTCTGCTTTATGTAGACTGAGCCCTGTCCTATAACAATCCTGAAGATATAATAGTGAAAACCATCCTGCTGGAACACCTTGTCTCTTTTTTTTGAGACAGAGTCTCGCTCTGTCGCCAGACTGGAGTGCAGTGACGTGATCTCGGCTCACTGCAACCTCTGTCTCCCGGGTTCAAGCAATTCTCCTGCCTCAGCCTCCTGAGTAGCTGGGACTACAGACGTGCACCACCACACCTGGCTAATTTTTGTATTTTTAGTAGAGACCGGGTTTCATCATGTGGGCCAGGATGGTCTCGATCTCTTGACCTTGTGATCTGCCCAACTTGGCCTCCCAAAGTGCTGGGATTACAGGTGTGAGCCACTGCACACGCCCCACCTTGTCATTTAAAAAGTGATTTCACACATGTTACATTTTGCCTTTACTGACAACCACACAAAATGACACTGATTCAGATCAGCCAACCCAGGCTCAGGGAGCCATGAGGACAGGTTCAACTGAGGAAAGAATGCCTATGAATATGGAAAAAGTAAAAACAAAAAGGTTAAGAAGGAAGAGAGAGAAGGAGGGTAGAAGAAAGCAGAGGTGTGGGTAGAAAAACAGGGAAGGGAATCCTCCGGCAAATGTCTCAGATCTTGGAGTCAGGGCTCTCCACCAAGAGGAGTCATAAAAAATGGCCTTGCCTACTTCCCATGGTCTCACTCAAGATTCTACAGGTGAGAGAGGACTGTGTGTGAAAGATTAAAGAGAAATAAAAACAAGGACAAACATTTATGATGGCAACTTCAAGAAAAAGAGGTTCAGTTCTCGAATACAGCAATTGCTTGAAGAGCTGTTTGTTTGTTTGTTTGTTTGTGTGTTTGTTTTGAGACGGAGTCTCGCTCTGTTGCCCAGGCTGGAGTGCAGTGGTTCGATCTTGCCTAACTGCAAGCTCCACCTCCCGGGTTCATGCCATTCTCCTGCCTCAACCTCTGGAGTAGCTAGGATTACAGGCGCCTGCCACTACGCCCGGCTAGTTGAAGAGCTGCTAATTTTTTTTGAACTCTCAAAAGATTGTTAGAGAGCAGATAATTCAACCTGATCAACCGTTTTGTAACACAGTTTCAGTGTCTTTATTTAATTCTTTGCATGTCTTCCTCTGGCTTCTTGAAGACAACAGCAATGAGTGGCTTCTGCATGCTTCACAACATTTTGGCTCGTCTCAAAATCCTTTGGCCAGAGCCCAGCTTCATGATGTCATCAAGAAGCGAGCCGAGGCCATGGTACACACGCCCTGTTGCGGTCACATGTAACCAAGTAGACATTCAATGTTTGCAGGCAACCTTCATGTTCTCTGCAGAGGTGCCAAAGTGTGCACTTTGCCAGAGCAAGTCTTCCCCAGGACTTTTCCTTTCCTACAGTTGATAGCTCTAGACAGTAAACATTTTCTCCTGTTTCAATACTCTTCTATAAGAAGGCTGACAGAGTACCTTTCCCACAGGCACCTGTTTAACCATCTCTCAATGCTTAGCTAGATATATCTTATGGGGGTCCCATGTCCCATTCATAGTCTGCCACCAAAAGAGGTCATAAGCAAAACGATGTTTTAGGTTTTCTCAGTTTTTCAAGACTCCTCCAAATATGAAATAGCAATCAAAATACAAGTTGTTTCTCACAAAAGTTTGGGTCACATTTCTCTTTTTTAAAGGTGTCTCCTTCCTACAGCTGACGCTAACGAATTCTTTTCTGCAACATGATTGGAGATATTTTTTTTAGGATGAAGCCTGAGTCTTCTGTGAAATGGCAGTAATGGTAAACAAGTAACAGCAGAAGACTGGATTAAAATGGGAGATTCTGCAAAGAGCTACTAGCACTTCCCTCACGTTAGCCCTTGACACTAGTAAAGTGCTTTTTGGTTTCTGTTGATTCATTTGTTTTTTGTTTTTATTTTCTTTTCTTATCACATTCAAGAATACATTGGTTCATCTTAGAGACATAAAAAAACACATTTCATTTGACAAGGTTTCTCAATCTTGGCACCCATTCCCAACTGGACCTTTGAGTGATGTGCATTGCATAAATACTTCCACATATTTCCATGGCTTTATCAGGTAACTGATGGCCCACTCCAGGAAAAGGTGGAGGAAGAAGGAAATAACAATGTTTTTAATGGCTAGGCTGTGCATAAATGTTAAGCTAAACTAGGCACAAATGTATTAATGATTTCCCTGCAGGACAAGTCCTAAATATTTTTTCACACCCTGAAGACCTCCTCTGACTCTTATATTTAAGTAAGTAATTTAGAATAAACATTGGCTCTAATAGCAATCCAGCATAAAAGAAAATTTTAGCTTTCTGAAAGTAAATTTAGGAATATCTAACATCTTCCATTATCAAAATGTGAATGTATAGTTAAATATTGTTTAATATTCAGGTAAATCTACAGACTTTCCTCTCAAATAAAAATAGCATTTGACAGTTATTTTTTATCATTATAAAGTTAGCCTGCAAGGAAGTTGAGTCCAATTGTATTTCAACTAAAAGATCTTTAGAATAAATCTTTCTCTTTGCCTTGCTCCATTCGAGCATTTAGAAACAATAAAATTAATATCTAAAGGAATAAATCGAATGTTCTTTCCATACTGCTATGAACTTCACTCAATGTCTAACATCTACTGGAGGGATAAGTTATGTTCAGTAACTTCTAAATCAGTGGTTTACAAATTATGCTTTCCAGGGAGTTCTCATGGTAGGGAAAGGGTAAGAGGAGAACTGAGAAAGTAAAACCACAAACTCTCATTTCCTTTTCAAACAGAGCAGTCCTGCTTATATGTATTTTATATACTGAGCTTCTACATACTATTTCAAAGAAAGAATTCCATTGCAAGAAACAAATTTAAGGTGCTGCCATAGATAGATCCAAAGTCAACAAGAGCGGTAAGGACAGATTGCATCAACACACCTTCTTCCCTTTCCTCCCCAAAACTCTTCTAAATTAACTGTGAAAGATTTTTGAGGCCAGGTACAGTGGCTCACGCCTGTAATCCCAACACTTTGGGAGGCCAAGGCAGGCGGATCACAAGGTCAGGCATTCAAGACCAGCCTGGCCAACATGGTGAAATCCCGTCTCTACTAAAAATACAAAACAAAATCAGCTGGGCATGGTGGCGTGTGCCTGTAATCCCAGCTACTCGGGAGGCTGAGGCAGGAGAATTGCTTGAACTGGAACCCGGGAGGCAGAGGTTGCAGTGAGCCAAGATCACGCCACATTCCAGCTTGACCTACAGAGAGAGACTCCGTCTCAAAAAATATATATAATATATATAGAGAGAGAGAAATTAAGGCATAAATTCAAACAAAATAGTTGGAAGAGTGATCAAAGATACAACAGCCCTATGAAAACAGAATCCTATCCAAGCAGAAGGAAAAGTCAAAAATGAACCTGAGTTTTACCCAAGATTTGCCATACCAGGTTCCTCTAGAGAAAAATTAGTTAAAAGTCAGTTTAAGATTCAGATTCCCAAATCACTGTTCCCCTTTTGTATACCTGGGCAACCACCACTCTCTCACCCTAGTATTCTCTGGAAAGGATAAAACAGGATCACTGAGCTGGATACATCTATAGCACAGTTGAGACAAGGGTACTATACTGAAACAGGGACATTAGGTGAGCAAATGCTCTCCTCTCACATGGTTTTCAGAACTCTGGAACCCAGGCTTTTACCCTACGGGCAGATGAGTATAGTCTTTTCCAAGAATTCAAACATTCTAAAAGGAAGACATAAAGACAATGTCAGATATTCCTCAAATAATTGGTCCAGCCAATCACTTTATAGTAAAGCCCATAGTTAACAAGTCCCATTCATGAGTTCAGAGTTTCCAGTCAGCCTTTCCATCTCTTTTGCAACAGGAGCAGGCAACAAGGAGCTTGCGACATCTGAGAATGGCACCTAGCATGGAAAATAAGACCAAAACAAAACAGGTATTTGGAGGAAGAAAACAATGCAAGAAGAAGAAAGCTTTCCCAAAATGATATCCGTATTCTTAGATTTATGAGAATATAATAATAACATACAAAACAACAGGTTACTGTTTAAAAGAAATACTCAAAATTTTTTAAAAGACAGTTCT